ATCTTGCGTGTGGGCTGAGAGCCACACTATAGAATCATGGCTACTATATATAGAGTCAGGTCTGAAATAAGTCTCTTTGTGGCAGCATTCCCGTGTTTGTTCCCGTTCACGCGCCAGGGCTGATGAGGCTTGACTGGTGACAGTGCATTGCATGCTGAATGTAGTGATGGGTCCAAACATCAATGCTTTGTTCAGTGATTGTTACTCCAAACATTCCAAACGATCATTTGCAAAACGTTGAGTTGCATTGAGTTGCTTAATGAATGTCAAAGGGTAATCTAGGTTTGTTCGTCGTGTTGCTCTTGAAGGTTGTAAATATGATGGGCCGGAGCACGATTGATCACGCAGTGCTGATGTTTGCCTTTTCTCACTTGGATACAAAATTGTTTTTACCTGGCCCCGGTTGTTTGTTGATCCAGCGGGACTGAAAAGCTACCAGGTTTTGTTGGCCAGGTGAACAACCTAGTTGCCACCTGCAAGAGGTCTTGGACACTAGATTGTTGACCCACCTGAGCTCTGCCAGTCAAACTCATGAACCTGGGGCACACGCGTCCGGCCAGGTGAGATGGTCTGCGTTAGTCCAGGAGGAGTCTCGCAAAGTGGAGTCTCGATTCTTGTAGACAAATTGAGATTCCAACAAAATCGAGATGGTGTATGAGAATTGACTTGAGAATTGTGTGCATTCTAGACCCCTGAGGTGTATTAGTTCTTCTCATGGATGTATTCGTTCGAAGAAAAGTATTTTGGATCCTCCAATTGTTTAAATTAATTCTTGCAAAGGACACATAAAGGATCATAAAGGCAATGAAGCCAGAAATCTATATATAGTCCACACCAACCACAAATCTTGGCAGAAAGTTGGGGCTCAGGCAAGCCTAGCAAAAGAAAACAACGAGCAACTAGTGCATTGGTGCTTGGCGTTTGCATGTGGAGCCGAAGTCCTGGTTTTCCAGGAGGACGCGGCGGAACAAGGCCTGGAGCACCATTTGCAGTGCTTGATTGCGGTGACGCCGGTTCAGATCATTTCCTCTCTTTGGTTCACTCTCATAGGTCAATAGATGTCAATAGGTTCTGGAAGCATTAAATCTCAGGTAAAGTAAAGTCATCGAAGCTCCATATCATTGTAGAGGCCAACATAAGACAGCCATCCCAAGTTGATCAAGAGCCTGTCTTTGAAGTCATAATTGATGCCTCCAACCTAAGAGGTCCGGGGACCTCTTACCCGAAGTGCTTTCGCCAAGCTTGTTTCGTTTCCGCCCAGGACCTTCGGCTGCCAAAGATTTGCCGCCGTCGGTGCCGGTCGTGGTCATCTCACCGCCGGACGAGGCCAAGCCCTCTGAGGCGGTCGACAAAGAGCGACCGGACGGACTCGAAGGAGCGAAAAGGAGATCGGATTACCGGAGCGAAAGGATGAAGGACGATTTTGCGAGGAATTGCAAATATGTTTTTTTTTGTGGTTACAAGTTACAAGGCATGAGAAATGTAGAAACGTCGAAAAAAAACTGATGCTATGCTGAACACATGCATGGGGGAACTTGCCCATTTGCCGTCTTGCAGTCTCATGTTCATCCAAGGTTGCTGATCGGCACTGTTAGGGGAAAACTTTCGGGTACGTTCTTCCAATTGCTCATGCATTTTGTTAGTTTTGCAAGGACCTTAAACACTGCTCAAACTGACCAGTCTGGCAAAACACCTACTACGAAGCAATCTCCATTTTCCCCTTTGGCAGCGTGGAATGTACCCTGGACTTCGTCACTTAAGGACTGCGGAAGAGGCGGAGGAGGCCATGCAAGACATCCTGGAGTGGGAAGCCAACGTCAAGGACAACTCTGGAGTGAGCCCGGTGCTGCATGTCCAAGAAGGAATTGGATCCAAACCTTTTGACTAGCCAAGTTGAGTGTTTGTCCAGAAATTCGTCCGGATGAATCTCTTGTTTGATATCTTGTGCGTCGCTGCTTCACCGCAACACGTGGGCTCCAGCTTCTGAAAGCCATGACGAGCAATGCAACATGGTCCGGCCCTCTGAACCGAAGCTGTAGGGAAAAAGGGACGTGCTTGGAGCATGCAAGTTCCCGTGTTGTCTATTTGAGAAGCATTTCATGGCACTCCCTTGCATCAAGGTTGTGGCATTGCTCTGCTGCTTTAGACGTGTGATATACAGAAAAACAAATTAAATCATGGACCTGAGGTTTATGGATGCCGCCGCACAGGGCGGCGGCACTCCAGCAGGCACCGGCAAGGCACGTCTGGCATGTTGGTCGAGGTGGGCTTTAAGGAGTTGAGAAGGCGGTGCTCCATGGTTTGATTGGTTTGTTCTTTTGCAATGGTTTGAAGACTGCCTCATGGCTGGGGTTGTTTGCTGGCTTTCAACACGCAGGGTTGCAAGGCTCTTGGCCATGTGATATCAGCCGGACAGCCCCCGCTTCACCCCTGGCCCTCTTACTTGGTTTGTCCAAGAGTTCTGGTCAGTATAGCCAATGTTACTTTTACTTGTTTAAATGCCTGGCAAGGTCAGTGTTATCAGCTTGCAGAGTATTGGCATTTCTTAGCGAGCATTCATTTAGCGGCTGGTTTTTACAGAGAAACTCAGTTTGGATGTCCGACCTTTGTTTTAGTCCGACAACACCAGGGTCGTTTTGCATTGTTTTTGCCATCCCCTCACTTGGCAGGTCATCACACAGGGTCTTTTTGCCTGCGGCCTCAGCCGACACGGGTCGTCCGCCAGTGGTGACCCAACAGCTTTAGTATTTTTCCGCTCATTAACGACTCCTTCACATGAAGCACCCGGAAACACCAAACGTATTTGCCTGCTTGTTCTCACACTCCTCTTCAACCCCACCTGATGTTACCTTCAAACCATTTCAAAAACCATTTCAATCCCCTTCAGGCGCAACCTGAAGATGTCCGCCCTGCATGGATGAAGGGGCGATCTGAAGCTGACTCTTGGACTGGAAGGATAGAGTGGATTAGCGAGTGGATCGCGGCCGTGCCATTGAACCGGGCCGAAGAGATCAGCGGAGATCAGATCAGAGCATGTTCTAATGAGGATCCGTGCTACTAGTAGCGTCCTCTTGTTCCTAGTAGCAAGGCCAGGAGCGGGCTGGATATTTATCCAACCCTCCAACATATTTGTTCAACCCCAACCTTGTTTCTCCACCCTCCGAGACGCTTTTTCAACCCTGGGTTGGAAAAAATCTAATCCCTACTAAATCAACCCAGGGTCTTTTTTTTGTCAAACCGTTTTTTCACCCTGGAAGCATTATTTTTTCACCCTGGAAACATTAATTGTTCACCCTTGAACCTTTTTTTCCAACCCACAAACATACTATTTCAACCGTATGACACGCTATTCTAACCCTAGGTCGCACCGTTGGGGGCTGCCCCCTCAGTCCTAGGATGTGATGCCTTTGTTGGAACCTCGAATGATTCGGCCGCCCCATTCTGCTATTGCTGCTGGTGCTTCTCCACCGTCTTCCTTTTGCTTTGGCCTTGCTGGCTTGCTGCTTCCAACCTGCACCTGCAGCTTCCGCTGCTGCCGCTGTTGCTGCTGCTTACTGCTTTGCTGTGCTGCAGCCGCTGCTGCTACCGCTGCTGCCGCTGCTGCTACCGCTGCTGCTGGTGCCGGTGCTGTCTTTTTGCTTAGCTGCTGCTGCTCTGCTGGTTTGCTGCTGCTGCTGGATGCTTGCTAGTGCTCAGAAGCTTGCAACCTCGACCTTTCCTTTACCTCCGTTGCGTCCACCGTTGTTTACGTTTGGACGGTTCATGTCGTGGAGTGAAGGCACGTGAACGCCGGATGGCCAACGATGCACCGGGTGTGGATGCATCATACAACACTTGTTTGTTGCACATCACCGCTTTTTGGTTGGGGCTGCCAAAGGGCCACTTCTATCTTCTAGGTTTTGTAAACTTTGGCAGTGCAATTCGGGCCACCCAGTCGTGTGTGGCTTACGTTTTCCAACCTCCGGTTTGTTGTGCTGGACTCAGGACTCCGACACACAGCCAGAACACTCGTTATGAAACTTCCCAAAACATACACCATAGTTTCCCAAAAGACGCTGAGACACACACAGTGTGCAGTTCGTTTGACACTGAGCTGTAATTGTGGCGGTTCGTCCGATACACCCATAATTTAATCGGTGAAACAAAGGTTTCTCAATGATTGGAATTCAACAGGTCCCAGGTTGGAATGTTTTGTGATCAACTGTTCCTGACAAAGAATCCCAAAGAATTGTCCATTGCATATCATTCTTGGAGATGTGATGAGGTTGAGGAACTCTAGTGCACAGGGAACTGCACCATGCCCACTGTGCTGCATTATAAAACGGTTTTTGTTGGAAATCTTCACCGATTGTTTGAAGAGCTCTGAGTCTCAAGCCTTTTGTCACGTGAACTGGATTTCATAAGAAACCTGAAAGACATATATAGTCTAGATTCGACTGCTCTGTTTTGCAGCTTGCAGAGATGCACGTTCAGAGCTTGCCATCCATGCTGCATTAGCAGCATATAGAGTAGGACCCGACTACGACTACGACCAAGAGCGCTACTAGTACTGCTCCAACCAAGACGAAGGTGAAAACTATAGAAGTAGCGCCCACAGCAACTGTTGGACGTAGTGCGAAGCATGTTCCGCGTGGAAGTGAAAGATGGAGAAGTGTGCGTGGCTTTCAATCGAGCAACTTGTCTGCAAGGGACGTCGCAAGGGCATTGCCCGTGGGAGCCGTTATTTGATGTTTTGTTGCTTCGGAGGTGGGGGATGTTCGGAGTATCAAAGAGCGTACTGCAGGTCATTCTGGATCCTTGCATGGTGTCGCTGAGGACAAGATAAAGAAAGTCAAAAGAAGTCGAAAGCTGAAGTTGTGGAGGCTACGCGCGGCCTGCTTCGAAACGACACGGGTTCACCAGGAGGAGTCACAGAGTTGCGTGTTCTCGTGTGATCTTGTGCTGCCAAGAGAATTTGATGCGAGTGCGTTTGAGGGACAGCTGCGCCAGACGAAGACGGACGGGTTTGTGTTTAGGGAGTCCATGGAAAATTCCAAACTCAACATCCTCTTGATACGAGCGCGTTTGTCATTGCACTGCTGCACCAGACAAAGCCGAAAGATAGAGCAGATCCGCCGCAGGCGAGCCAGTGCATCCGGAAGCGAGAGACGCTTTTTGTCGTCCTTCTCGGGCGAAGGTTCCCATATGGAGTTTGGGCCGTACTGGGTGGATAGAATCCAGGGGGTCAGTGCCAGCTGAGAGCTATCCAACAAGGGGATCTACCGGTGTGTTGGAGGTGTAGTGCATGGTGTAGCAGCAGAAAGTCTACAGATGTAGCGCATTGAATTCAGACGACCCAGTGTTTTGGCCGGCGGCGCCAGGCAAAGCCGAAAGCTCCCACGCCGCCCAAGGTGCGGATGCGTATACAGGGAGACTCAATCGCAGCGAAGGCCTGCATTGAAGGAAATTTTCGTTTTTGTCCAAGAGTTCCGTTGCCACAAGAAAATGTTCTATTTATACCAAGTCTGAATACAAGAACTCTGATATAAGTGCCGTTGGACAACTGCGTCGCTGCCAAATGTGGC